ACGGAGTCTGTCCAACAAGTGGCACGAACTAACGAACTTGCCACAAGTTGGACGGACTTCGTGCCACTTGTAGTGTTTTAAAATTCTCGGTAAAATTGAAACTGGAGAAGGTAAGAAAGAAAATTGCGGTAAATTATCGATGACAAGAGAATTTACGAGAATATACGAGAATATTCATTTAAGTGATTTATAATTGACTTGTTTTAATTTAAATATGTATTTTTATAGTATGTAGGTTAAAAATAGTTGACAGAAGTGTTATTATATAAAATTATATAATTTATGAATCATATGGCTTGAACAATGAATATAAAAAACCGTAACTCTTCTCTGTTCTGACTTACAAAATTATATCACATGAAATTATTCCTAACAGTCTAAATAATTGCAAAATTGAGTAAAATATTTAACCTTGGAAAATTATTTGTTTGTAATTAAACACGTTATGTTCTGAATTTTTAAACGATGTTGTTCACTATAAAATTCACACAACTTTAGTTTACGCGTAAAATGAATCTTTTAAATTCCTTTTAGGTGGCTTCCATAAATGATGTCACGGGTTTTTCGGGGATTTTTGACCCCCCCTCCCCCTTGTCACATTTATTACATACATTAGCGCCATTTTTTCTATATGTTGTCACAAATTGCTAGACCCCCCCTCCCCCCTTTAAGTGTGACATCATTTATGGAAGCCGCCTTAAATAACCTTATCTTTGGTTGCTAAATTATTTGAATGAAACAAAAAATAAAACTACATTTACATAGCCATTCAGAAGTGCTAGTCTAGTTTAGACGCTTTTTTAACAATTTTTTTTCTGTATCACGTGTATCAAATTCTACCTCTAATTTATATCACATTTTTAACAATCTTAGTGATTTAAAATATTAACTTGTTTAATATTTAAACTCTTTAAACATATTTTTAAACAGTCTTAGTAATTTAAAATAGCGAAGTTTTTAAATAAAAATCTTTAAATAATTTCAAAAACTTTGGATCACTATTAAAACAACTGTATTCAGAAAAAATACCTTTTTGCAATGCTTTTTCAATAACTTTGGTCATTGTATGCAGAAATACTATAGTAATTTAAGAATTTTTAAATTCTCGTAAATTCTCTGAGAAAAAATGAAGCGGTAATTTACCGGTAAATTACCGCAATCTTCTTTTTCTTCTTGACGTAATTTACCGTCTTTAGAACACTAGCCACTTGTGGTACGAAACACCGCCACTTGCGTCCGAGACGCTCGTAAGCCGTACAGGCTTCCGTACAGAATAGGTACAAAAGCCAAGTACAAGTGCAAGTCCAAATGCAAATCCCATAAGTGCGAAAGAGATAGGTAGCCTATCTATCTCTCTTGCACTCATGGGATTTGCATTTGGACTTGTACTTGCACTTGACTTTTGCACCTATTCTGGAACCGCTTTTACTCGTTTAGCGCTCGGACGGACGCTCTATTAAGGCACTTGTACACCTCAGAAATTCTAAGTATACTCGGAATTTGTCAAAAGTTATACTAATTTTGATTGCCTTGCTCATAGAGAATTTCTAAAAGATAGAAAAATTTAGAAATTCTCTATGAGCAAAGCCAATCAAAGTTAGTGAAACTTCTAACAAATTCCGAGGATACTCAGAATTTGTGAGGTGTACAAGCGCCTTTAGTAGTCGGGTAGCAGCGATCGTCAATGGCTCCCTTGCTGCTACCCGACTACCAATAGAGCGTGCGCACTGAACTCTATATATCTGGAATACTGTCTGACATTGATGGTCGCGAACCGAGAGAGAGGTCTGATTCTTGTATCCCTCTCCTTCTCTTGCTAAACTGCACAGGCGTAGTACAATACGTTCCAAAAGTTTACTGTTAACTGTGTTATGTCATGTTCACGTATCAAGAGGAGGGGAAACTCCGTTGTAAAGATGCGGCGTGAAAAACAAGCCACTAGAAGGCGTGGCTTATCGTTCGTGCTTTGCTATTCAGACGAATTTGAGTGTTCTGCGCATACTTTCTTGACACTGATATTTGAAATGTAGCAGACGCTGTTTTTAAGTTTCTGTTTGTTTGTTCTGACAGTTGGCATCGCCTAAAGTAATTTAAGAAGAAGAAGAAGTTTCTGTTTATGCGGTTATGGCAAATGGTTTACCCATAAATTTTTTGATGCGATTATTTAATAAAATTGTTGCTTTTTCATAAAAAAAATTTTACTGTCATCCACTTTTTGCTCGGTAATTTTAACATAGACATATTCTTTTCAATATTTTTGAAATTAAATTGCATCGTACTTTGATCCATTATGTTAGTGACTTTTTCAGTTTGAAAGTAGAATAATCTATAAAAAATTGAAATACTATTTTATGTTTATTATCTCGCTTTTGACATTTCTAATCTAACCAAGCAGACGCAAACATTTGCAGCTGTTTGTTACGAAATTTCCCCTGCAAAACCTACAAGGTTAGTATGCGCAGAATTCTTAAATTCGTTCTATTAGCAGTACACGAACTTAAATGACACGCCCACCGTGTGCACGTTTACCATGCCACTACTCACTGTGCTAAAGCGTGGAAGTTTCACCTCCTGGTTCTAGTCTTCTTGTCACGTATACATACTGTTAAATATTTTCTAATGGACCTGTACCGACAAAGAGGAGAATACAAGAATTAGCCCTCTCTCTCGGTTCGCGACTTTCAATGGCAGACAGCATTCCAGATATATAGAGTTCAGTGAGCGTACGGCCGAGCGCTAAACGAGTTACAGAATTGGAAGGTTCAATTCAACTCGATTTTGCTACATTTAGCCTACATGTGTACGTGCCTTTGGGTGGCCCATAGTACCTTCATACAGCCACTGAACTCTATATATCTGGAATGCTGTCTGCCATTGAAAGTCGCGAACCGAGAGAGAGGGTCGATTCTTGTATTCCTCTCTTTGTCGGTACAGGTCCATTAGAAAATATTTAACAGTATGTATACGTGAACATGACTTAACACAGTTAACAGTAAACTTTTGGAACGTATTGTACTACGCCTGCGCAGTTTAACAAAAGAAGGAGAGGGATACAAGAATCAGACCTCTCTCTCGGTTCGCGACCATCAATGGCAGACAGCATTCCAGATATATAGAGTTCAGTGCATACAGCCCCATCCATACCTTCATGTAACGAGCGACTGTATTCTCGCTCAACTTTACTTTCGATATCTCGAATTACGATATATCAAAGCGCTAAATTTGAATATTAAAAATTGTTAAGAATTAATTTAACTGTCTCTTAATACTTTATTCTTCTTAAAATAAAACTATTCAGATATTGATAAAAAGCATGACTAATTTTAAATAATTCCGTCACGCTTTAATTCCTTTCAAACTCTTGTTCCCAAAATGTACAAAATAAACATTTTTCAGAATAAACATTTTGGTAAAATGGCAATAGGAAATACGATCCCAAGTTTCCCTTGCTCTCAACTTAAAATATAAACCTCAAAAAGATCATAAAAATCCACTTGAAAAGGTTGTGAATTCTTTTTCTATAGGACACTAAACACGTGTTGACCAGACGCAACTCGGCTCATAAAATATAGAAAAGCCACAGACTAGGCAAACAAAGAACTTCATGTTCGCGACGACAATTCTTTCATATTATAATTCAAATCCTAATTTAATTAATGCAAAACGTTATTATCATCATCTCTAAATCAACGTTTTATGTATATGTTTGCGTGTATGTATGTATATATATGTGTATATGTATGTGTGTGTATGTGTATATGTATGCATATATTTATTTACTTATTTATTGATTTGTGTTTATATAGTTAATTTATAATCTTGTATAACGTGCGAAATAAGTATATATGGAATTAGATTAATACAGTGAAAATGTATAAATACAGTGCAGTGATGCTGGATACAGCATAGAGCAGACTATATACCGGAGCATGCGCAATGGTGATTGATTTGAACTCGTAGCGAGAGCTGTGTCTTCGCTCTAACCTTACTCCTAAAGGAGAGCTTCTCTCGCTTCTGTCCCTCTAATGGTCGATGTATCTCCGAACTTTTCAATAAACTTATGTGGTTTTAATCTAGAAGTTAGAATGATTAATAATTGATTAATTGTCTTCCTTCAAGAGGATTTTCCACTCCGTTTCACGGAATTTACATTTGTTTTCATTTCAATATTCCCGCTTCCTCTCAAGGATTAATACCAGTGATGGGTTGTGACGCGTCACACGAAGTTTTGTACGTATAATACGTTTTCGACGTAATATACGTATAAAATGTATAAAACCATGTAGAAAACCACTGACATTTTGACATCTATTTATGATCCTCTGATTTTTGCCATAACGAATTTTTCTTATCATTCTATTTAAATTAAAGTCTTAAAATAAAATAGAAATGGTCAGAAAAAGTAAAAGAAAATCTTTTAAAGAGGGTTTGCCCTGGGAAAGTGTAATGAATGATGTATTTTAATGAAGAATTTAAAATTGCCGCTCTTAAATCACGTGATCAAATGTAATATACATCGTGTAGAAAACTTGGCACGTAATATACGTAGTATTATACACGTAGAAAACCACGTATTATACGTCATGTATTATACGTACCCATCACTGATTAATGGTGATTCCACAAATGGAACGCGCGACTGATGCGCGACAATTGATCGTACGTATACGGAGCGTACTTTGCTGTACTTCAAGGCCTTTCTCCAATAGGATCCTAAACTCTTGCGTTGCGTATGCATTGCGTCGGTTGCTATTGGCAACCAATGCTAAAATCAACGCGTCAGTTACGCAACGCAAAAGTTTAGGTTCCTATTGGAGAAAGGCCTTCAACAGACGGACTCTCTCGCATAATACGTATACGGAGCGTACTTTGCTGTACTTCAACAGACGGACTCTCTCGCATAATACGTATACTGCTCCGTATACGTACGATCAATTGTCGCGCGTCAGACGCGCGTTCCATTTGTGGAATCACCATAACACCGAGTAAAACGCGTTATTTACGTAACTCCGCCCGTAACATTCATACAGCGGCGTCGCCACCTAGCGTACCTGCATTATACTAAAGTATATTTTTTTTGTGTGCAAAATCATAGTACACAAACCCTTTGCTTGAAAAAACAGAAACAGGCAGTAAAGATGAAAGCAAAAGGGGAAGTAAGTTAATTAAATCTTTTTAGTGGAATTTCGTAAAATTATACTAGAAAAAACTTGTTTTATGTCATCAGTGTAATAGTGAAATCTAATGAAAGTTACTGATTTACAATGTCACAACCATCAATTCCGAGAATGCTTTATGACTGCTTGACACTTCCACGTGTTTTATACAAAATATAAATATATATATATACCTGCTTACACATTTTCATTCCCGAAATATATGTTACCTAAATACTAAAGTTTTTGATATGCCATAATATAACTATCCTTTAATAAACAAAAAACATGCATAACAATAAATCGCTCCCTAACCTATAAACATATGCAATTGAAATACACTTATGTAAAGCAGTTTGTAAAATTTATCACTTCCCAATATAGTCAATTTTCGTTGTCGCTTTCGTAGTCGAGCAAGATTATTTTTGAGAATCTTAAAAATTGAAAAACATAATTTTCTAACTGATTAATCTCTATATAACTATTAAAATGAACTATTTTATTGATCTTGAGAATAAATCCTATTCCTTAGTACATTCAAATATGTGATAATATTATAACACAGAAAATGTAATAACTTGTTTAAAATACGTTTGCAAAGCAAAAGTATTTTAGAATATTAAGACACCAATTACACTAACCACATTAACAATTAAAATATTTTCCAACAGTTGAAAGAGTACGAGGTGATTGGGCGGAAATTGCCCACGGAGAAGGAGAAAACAACACCTCTCTATAAGATGAGGATCTTCGCACCCGATGCAATTGTAGCAAAGTCACGTTTCTGGTATTTCCTGAGGCAGTTAAAGAAATTCAAGAAATCCACTGGTGAAATAGTCTCATTAAAGCAGGTTCGTTTATAATATATGATCCATTCACCTCTCATTCCAATATCATCTTCGTAATTAATGTTTCAATAGTTTTGGCTGGATAGATAATTTTAAGAAAATCAAATTATTGCTTTCCTTTCCACTAATAATTCGTATGGCTATTTTTAAAAACTATTATACAGTCCAAATTTTTTTCATTTATAAAATAGCCTAAAATATTTTTTAATTGTTTTATCCCAATGAATTCTTTTCTATAGATAGTCTAGAGTGCCTCAAAAAAAATTTTTTTAATTTTTTTGTGGAAATTGTTCCACAAATTTGAAAACTACCATTAAAATTTCATTTAAATAGAATCTGTACTTATTAAAAAGGTAAATTTGTTTAAATTTACACTTTTTAGATTAAGTAAACAACTCAATATTATTTCTAATAAGCTTTTACATGATATTTTAAGAGAAAAAGTTAAAAAATTAATTTCTATTTTTTTGACACAAAATATAAAAAATTTACAGAAAAGATGAAAATAATTAATTTTAAAAAAATAGGAAATCCTGGATTTTCACATTTTTTCTTAAAATATCTAGTAAAAAGTAACCGCATCACGTATATACCATATTAACTAAATTGACAATACTTACCATCGACCGGGAAAATAGGTGTATCAAGTTAGAAAAACAACTTTTGTAAAATCAAAAATCTCATATTGGAGAATTTGCCGCTAATTATTCGTGAAATTTCCAATTTTGCCGTGTTTGATTTTTTAAAATAAACAGGGTGCACTGATAACTTGATAACAAGTTAGCAGTGCAACCACTGTAAATAAAAGGATAAAAAAATCTGAACACACATAATTTTGCCGTAATCAAATCCCACAATTAGTTTCTCAAAATATTTAAAAATGACACAAAACTTCACAATATTCTATCAGAATTTTGTAAAATTTATATTCTTTTATCCTCAAAATCATTTTAATATAATTAGTTGGTCGAAAACGACTTATTTAACAATAAATCTATAAACTCAACTATCAGACTAACGACCAAATTAATGATAAAAAATTACTAATCGAATCTTATTTTTGACAAAGATTTAAGACTCTACTGTTACATTTCTTCGTTTTTAATTCTTACAAAAGTCAAATATTTTATTTGACGTATTTTTCCTTTACGAATAATTAAATTAGCTGCTACGGCAAAAATCTTAAAGCAAAGGAAATGTGTCAAAATTACTTCTGACCGTAATTTTCGACTGTTTTGATACATTTTTTCTTTTTTAATTATAGAAATCAATTATACAATTAATATGACGTATTTTTTGTCTCGGTCAGAAATAATTTTGACACTTTTTCGATGCATTGGGATTTTGCCGTTGCAGCTAATTTAATTATTCGTGAAGGAAAAATATGTCAAATAAAATATTTGACTTTTGTAAGAATTAAAAACGAAGAAATGTAACAGTAGAGTCTTAAATCTTTGTCAAAAATAAGATTCGATTAGTAATTTTTTATCATTAATTTGGTCGTTAGTCTGATAGTTGAGTTTATAGATTTATTGTTAAATAAGTCGTTTTCGACCAACTAATTATATTAAAATGATTTTGAGGATAAAAGAATATAAATTTTACAAAATTCTGATAGAATATTGTGAAGTTTTGTGTCATTTTTAAATATTTTGAGAAACTAATTGTGGGATTTGATTACGGCAAAATTATGTGTGTTCAGATTTTTTTATCCTTTTATTTACAGTGGTTGCACTGCTAACTTGTTATCAAGTTAGCAGTGCACCCTGTTTATTTTAAAAAATCAAACACGGCAAAATTGGGAATTTGACGAATGATTAGCGGCAAATTCTCCAATATGAGATTTTTGATTTTACAAAAGTTGTTTTTCTAACTTGATACACCTCGGGTAAATGTAAATGTAAATGTTTGTTTATTTACAAAATATCCTCAACATTTTTTTATAAAGCTTTAGCTGTATGAAATCTTTTCTGCAGATAGTAAATATAATTTCTAAATTTTTTTTTTATTTTAACAAAATTTAATTGGTTAATGAATATTTTCAGGGTGTCTAGCGGTCAGGAAAAAGTCAGAGAACTTTTTAAAAATTTGCCAAAAATGAACATTTTTATGAATTTTTTAAATTATCTGGTGCAAGAAAAAGTGTATAAAGCTAATAAATAAAATGTTTTTTAATATCTTAAAAATACTTTAATAATTTATACTTTTCATTTTTTTAATATTAAATCTTTATTAAAGAAAAATTGGAAAAAGTTTAGGAAAAAGTCAGGGAATTTTTATTGTACTTCTTGCTGGACACCCTGATTTTACTTTAAATAAATAATTTAATTTTAAAACATCTTTTCTCTCTTAAATAACTAATGTTATTAGATATTAAATTCATTTTATTAATTCTATAATGAGAATATTTGTATAAATTCACTAATTGTAAGAAAAATTTTTTAAATTTTATTTAAGTAGTACAAAATTCTAAAATAAATTCTTAAAGTTCCATTTTTATAATCTTTGGAAGTATGATTTAAGCAATATATTAGAATTTAAAATTTTGTCACAGTTTTTAGTTTTGACGGTAAAAAAAATTTTAGGAAATAATTAATCAATTTTTACAGATTTTTAAATAAAATTTTTTATTAAATAATAATTTTGAAAGAGTTAAAGTTGAAATTTTTGAAATTAATTAAATTTCAAGACATTTTGAATTAAAATTTCTTTATAATTTTATTTTCTTATTTTTTTAAAATTAAAATTTTAGTTAAGTTAAATAATAATGGAAATAAAGAAGATCTAACGAAGATTTGCATTGTATAATAAAAGACCGTAATTTGTTTCAAAATTTGTAAAAAAAATTATTAAAAGAAATCGCATTTTATTAAAATAAGTCGAAAAAAATCGTATTTTATCAAAAAAATTGGAAAAAGTCGTATAATCCGAGACCTGCAATTTATATAAAATACCTTGAACTGCAGTTTGAAAATTCGCCAAGAACTGTAATAATAATATTATTCTGATTAATAATAATAATAATAATAATAGTGAGGATGGTAATTTTGTTTTGAATATTATTATTATTATTACGATGGTAAATAGGTTTCTCCTATTAAGTATTTCATTAACCTGATCATATCTGATAAGGTAGAAATTTAATTGACCAACAGTCAAATTTGTATGTACGAAACAAAATTACCATCCTCACTAGATATTTTCTAAAGTTGTTAATATTGACGTTGAAAAGTCGTGTTCATGGTTTCTGAATTGAGTGGAATCGGGTCTCTCTGTAGCTCAATTGGTAGATCATCTTACCGGCAATAAGAAGGTTCTGGGATCATACCCCAGCAGCGAGAGGCGATCCATTTTTTTCAGAAACCATGCACGAAAAATATTTGTACGAGTTTAAATTTCTACCTTATCAGATATGATCAGGTTAATGAAATACTTAATAGGAGAAACCTATTTACCATCGTAACAATAATAATAATAATTAACAATAATATTATTACTTATAACCTCTCTATCATAACATTGTCTTGTGCGATTTGACACATTCTCTTCTGCTATATTATGGCTCTATATATACTTGCGCAGTAAACCATTTTTGGTTACCGCACCATGAAGTAGTATAAGGAGCACCCACTCTTCTTCTTCTTCTTCTTAAATGACTTGAGGCATAGCCAACTGTCAGAACAACCACAAAATGAAGAAGAGGGTTAAGGTGCTTTTATACCTCAAATTTCGATCGGATGAACATTATTTCTGGACCGTGAAAATGCGTGAAAAGTCATTTTCACGGCGGGTATTTTTGAATTGTTTTATACAAAAAATGTTTTCTTAAGAAATATAATATTAAATAATTGTTTTAATATGTAAGAACACTTTAAAATAGTGATAGAGAGATGATTTGATTAAAAAATTTAGCAAATTTTGCTTTAAAACGTTTTCTGCTACAAGAAAGTGTAAAATGACGATGTTTGTGAAATGGTTTGTACAGTGCTTCTTCCTTGTGAGTGTCTCTCAGAGTTTTGTTTATGTTATGTCGGTTCTTTTTAACTTGTAATAAATAATGAGTGCTGAAAATAAATCGGTAAGTTGAAATGTTTATCAAATAAATTTAAATTCAACTAATTGAGGAGGTCAATCAAATAACTCGATTAGCGCTTGAAACATCGCCCTTATGGTATTTCGCCGCTTCAAAAAAGGAGAAAAATTCAAACTCAAAATTTGAATTTTTGGAAAACGCTATCTTGTAGTAAATAAAAAAACGCAACTTTTTTCTTAAATACTTTTTTTCGTAGGACGAATATTATTTGCATTAGAAATTGAAAACAACAAAATTTTTCTTTTCAAATTTAATTAAATTTTAAAACATAAATCGTCGTTTTGAAGACAAATGTGAATGGATTAACTTGGAATTTGGTATACAATCTCAGTTGGGTCTACTGAAACGAAAAAAATCATAGAAAACTTAAAAATTATTTATTGTTTAATTATTTTTTATTGTAAGCAATGACGTGTCAGCAATATAACTCTTTTACATTCAATGACAAAAAGTATCTAGGGAAGTTTTGAGTTGAGCAATCTTATCGCAAGGAAGTTGTTCCTCAGTATTCAAGGAAGTTTTCTGGAAAATTCCAAAACAATTTATTGAAAAATAAAAAAGTAATGCAATTTTCAAGGAATACGCGCCGCGCGTCGCTTTCGCTGCAAAAGCATCTATTTGGAAACATGTACTAGTGTCATTTTTATGTTGTTAAATTATTGTCATTATTATTACTGTTATTGTTTATTGTTATTAAATTATTATTAATTTTTATTTATTTCCAAAAAATTATTATTATTATTATTATGGTTAATAATTCTATAAGCTTTTTTCTCGTTTGTACATGAGTATTTATTTTACAAATTTTTTTATTTCTACAACTTTTTTATAGTGCACATTTTTTAGTAATATTATCTGATACTTATGTTTTTAAACACTTTATTTATAAGTTTTATTTATAATATTAGAA